TTCCAAAGCGTCCTATTGAGATTCCCTTGCTGAGACTTCTACCTCAACCTTTTCCGAATGTATGGAGCAGCTTAAGCGATTTTAGCACTTCGAGTAGACGTAAATAGAGGCAGTTGTCGAAGATGCTAATTTTCGCCGACTTCACTTCCAACTTCAACGACTAAAAAATTCACAAAAACTATATCCTCAACCAAAGCTTTTTTGATATTCTTATACTACGAGAAGTTTCCTATCAGATGATATATAACTTGCTTGCAAAACGTTTCACTTTTCGAACAAATTTTTCAATTGAAAAAAACGGCCATTACTTATTAGCCAACCTAATATTTTGTTTCACTTTTGAAGAGGTTTCATTCAAAAACGTAATAGGAAGTCGATAAACTTGATAGTATGCAGATGATCAGTGAAAAGGGACAAAGCTCTAAGGAAGGTTTTTAGTGGTGCCTATGGGCGAAGGAAAAGTGAGAAAGGCCTGGGAAGGCTCAGTTAATGACGGCAGAGACGAAGAAGCGAGGAAGGCGTTCGAAAAAACATTATTCATCACAGATGTAAGGGCACCTCTTTTTTAATTACATGTATGGAGGAGCACGGTCGTTGTGACTATCTTTTTTAGCACATGGGTGCCGGTGCTGACGATAGTGCCTACCAGAACTTTAGTCGACTTGTCGTTTCACGGATGGGAGAAGCACCCTTCAACTGTGTCGAGGAATGTGAGGGAGAAAGGTATTCCGCCGTAAGTCGCATTTTGATATTTCTAGTTTACAGCTGCCATGATTCGCTTATTCATTACCCGACTTCGGAAGGTATATGACACGCACTTGCGCTCAAAAGTATTCAGGACGGTCTCCCATGCATTCCTTTTTGTTAACCGAAGAGTTCGCAAAAATTGTGATATTGTACCTATGAATGGTGCCCGCGAGCATTTTTCTTTGGGCATGGTGCGTGGTAAGTAGCACTTTCCTCAGCTATTGGTTTCACTGTCTATAAGGATACTACTACGTTCCTACTTATCGAATTTGGGTAGTTCCCCAAAATCACTTTCAGTTCCTGGTGCAAGTTACTACTTTCCCGTTTTTTCGGAAGAAGTCTGGTGGAACCTGGGGCACAAAAAAAGTATCCCTGACGAAGAATATCAGCATGAGGGGAACGAAAAGCTCTCTTCAAGCATTTCTGTCATCAAGTCTTGGCTGTGTTCGACATCAATATCGTAACCACGGTTTCTAGAAAGGCATTTTTCACTGCTCGCTCGAAGATCCAATCTTGCTGTTGTCGCCTTCGCAAGCAATTTAAATAGCCCTGATGGGCCAAATAAATAGTAGTAAAAAGATGTCGGAGAAAAAAAACTATGGTAGAAAAAATAGCAGGCGTTCCAGCAGAAAATCGCTGTTCTCTAATCGACAGTGGAGCTTGTTCTCTGACCTCACTGACTGGTCGGAACATCCGACGGTCCTCTTCATCAAAGGACAAATTCTCGCATCGCTTACGCTAGTCGATAACATCTGATTCCGGAAGTAAGAGCTCACTTGTCGTCGAATAAGACGCTGTTCCAATAGGTGGCAGGTAGCGAAAGTAGGTGACAGAATACGAGCACTTGGACGTGCCCTTCTATTAGGTTGGCTAATAAGTAAGCATCTTCGACAACTGCCTCTATTTAGAAATTTCATGCTAATAGTTGAATTAATTGAATTTGAATTTGATATTCTAATACTACGAGAAGTTTGCTATTAAACGATATTAAGCTTGCTTGCAAAACATTTCACTTTTCGAACAAATTTTCCAATTGAAAAAAACGGCCATTACTTA